TTACTTTGAACTGTGAATTTCCAGAAAAAAAATTGGTTTGGAAAGAATTTCAAGTATGATCATTTGAGAGTCTCTGGTTGTAAAGATTTTGTACATATTCTAAAGGATAAAAGATCCAAGTTGGATGCAAAGTCAAAATAATGTATCTTCACCAGCTATGGGAAAGATGATTTTGGTTACAAGTTGTATGATCCTATAGGGAAGAAGGTTATCAGAAGTTATGATGTGGTGTTCATGAAAGACCAAACTATTGAAGAAATTTATAAAGTGGAGTAGACTACACCCAAGAAAGATATCAATTTGCCTAATACTGATCCAGTTCGGTTACCTATACATAATTTGTATATTATTGGTGGTGATGATCAGAATGGTGAGCCAAATAATTGTTAATGATCAACAACTTGGAGATGGAATGAATATTCAAACTAATGATGATGAAAGGGAGAATGATATGTCACTGGATGGGAATCTTGGTGAAACTCCATAATCATATCAAATTCAACTTAGAATGTATAATAGGTAGAGACAAGCTTCTACAATGTATAATTCTGATGAGTATGTGACATTGACAAATGAGGGTGAACCTGGGTGTTTTCAAGAGGCCATATAAAGTGATGAAAATCAAAAGTGGTTGGATACAATACATGATGAGATGAAATTGTTGTATGATAATCACACTTATGATTTAGTGAAGTTGCCTAAATGAAAAAGGGCTTTGGAAAATAGGTGAATTTATAGAGTTAAACATTAGAGAAACTCTAACTCTCCAAGGTATAATGTCATATTAGTGGTGAAATGTTTATGTCAAAGAAATGGTGTTGATTTTAATGAGATTTTCTCATTTATTGTAAATATGCCATCGATTAGAACCCTGTTGAGTTTGGTTTCTACTCTTTGTTTAGAGGTTGAGCAAATGGATGTGAAAATGGATTTCCTTCATGGTGATTTGGAGGAAGAGATCTACATGAAACAACCTGATGGTTTTTTAGTTAAAGGCAAAGAAGATCATGTGTGTAGATTGAGTAAGAGTTTATATGGGTTAAATCAAGCTCCAAGGCAGTGGTACAGGAAGTTTGAGTCTGTTATGTGTGATCTTACGTCTTTCTTAGAAAATTTTCTAATTGTGCATTCATTATCTTATTGTTATATGTCAATGATATGCCTATTTTAGGGGGAAATATTTCTAACATTGGCAAGTTAAAGAAGTAGTTGGACGATTGATTTGCCATGAAAGACATTGGAGAAGCTAAATAAATTATTGGCATTAGAATCATATGTGACATAAAGGAGAAGAAACTTTAGATGTCACAAGAATATTATATCGAAAGAGTGTTGCAAAGATTAAAAATGGAAAGTTCTAATGTGGTAAGTACTCCTCTTGCTAGTCATTTAAAGTTGAGTTTTAGTCAAAGTCCTTCAATTGAAGATGAAGCATTTGATATGAAATATGTTTCTTATGTGTCTATTGTGGGTAGTTTGATGAATGCAATGGTGTGTACAAGATCATATATAGCACATGTTGTTGGTACAGTCAATATATTTTTGTCAAATCTTAGTAGAGAGCATTGAAATATTGTAAAATGGATTTTAATGTTTCTTCACGGTACTACTTTTGCAAGGCTTTGTTTTGGAGGAGATAATCCTACTCTAGTGGGGTACTCTGACTCTAATATGGATGGATACATTGATTCCAGAAAGTCCATTCTATGCTACATGATTAAATTTATAGGGGGAGTTATGGCTTGGCAGTCCATATTGTAAATTTGTGTATCATTGTCTACTACAGAGGCTGAGTTTATTTTTATTACTGAAGCATGCAAGAAGTTATTATGGTTGAAGAAATTTTTGCAGGAGCTTGGTTTTGTCCAAGACAAATATGTGTTATTTGTTGATAGTCAAAGTGCTATTAATCTTGGTAAGAATCCGACTTTTTATAATTGGTCCAAACACATTGATGTGAGATATCATTGGATACATAATATTTTGGATGCTAAGTTTTTGGAGTTAGCTAAAATTTATACATATGATAATGATTCTGATATGATGACAAAAGTGTTACCAAGAGGAAAATTTGAAGTTTGTTGTGATATCGCCGAATTGACGATTTCCTCCATGTAGGTATGAGAGGGAGATTAGTTGGTTTGGAATTCCTTCCTATGTGGAGAAGTGCCCAAATATGATTATCTCATTTGTATCACTTATTTAAGTGGAGATATTCAATTTAGGATTGAGAGAGATAGAAAGAAAATAAGGATTCAAAAGAGAGAAAATAGGAGAGAAACTCATTCTCGTTTTTCTGTAACAGTTTCACTAAATCGGTGATTTCGGATTCATTAACAATCGGATCGAGCTCAAATTTTAAGGTCATGTTCCCAACATCCGTATCTACCTTTAGACGGTCCGGATCTTGAAAATGAGGTCTCAGCTGAGAGATATCTTTTTCGCACTAAAGTTGCAGATTTGGGTAATTTTTCAGCTTCTTGATTCTTATTTGTAAGCTAGTTTGTTTTGTGATTTGCAATTGTTAGTATTAGTTTATGAATCACTTTAAGACTCTCTTGTACTCTTATTTGATTATAGTAAAGTTACTTATTTGGTTTGGATAAGTCATGGTTTTTACTCTCATATTAAGGGGTTTTTCCAGGTTAAAATATTAGTGTTCTCTTGTGCCTTTATTTATTCTATTTGTTGTCATATATTTGTTGTTGATCCTAAATTTTTTTACAAATTTGAGAAATTTCATATCCGATGCATACTAGTATGTTATTGTGTATTAATTTCCCATAAAAAATATGATGGATAATTGAACCTCCTACACATTCTCCAGTTAACTAACATGTATAATCCTAAACAAGCTCTTACCTCCATTTTGATTCCTGTTTTTTCTTTTTCTTTTTTAAATTTTACCAAAATTAATCATCTTTTAGCAACTATGTTACTGATAAATTAAACATGATACTACATACAATAGTCATTAAATTAAACAAATTACAAATGCATGCAACAATCATAAAATTAAGCATCACAACAATAATATTTTTATTATAATAATTATGCTATTCATTTATCATAATTTCCATTCGGGTCTAGTTTGAATTTGAACTGTTTATTTTACCTCATTTTATTTTATTTTTCTACACATTTCATTTCACAATGAATGTCAATCAACATAATATTTGATTCAATTTTATGCAAAATAATGGAATCTTTCTTGTATTCCAAATCAACAAAACAAATTAGATTTTGGAAATGCAACTCTTATCCCCAATTTACACCATAACTCAAAATTTCAACTCTCTTTTTAGTCCAAATCCACAAAATAACTCACACATTGAAAATTACACATATCATATATCACCTTATACATATTAACATCAACAATTTCTATCACACTAAAATAACATCAATATGTCTCACGGGGTTCAAATAGGTAGTAATGGTCTGTAATCAAATGATCAAGAATATGAAACATCATAATTTCCCACTCAAGGTAACATAAAAATTATTAACCTTGATAAAGATGTTGCATTTACACCAATTGTGAATATGGGCTAAACAAAGATTCCAGTATAAAGAGTATGAAATTCTCATTTAATCATGGCTCAATGCTTCAAAGGATTCAATTAACATGATTGATAAAAAAAATAGATAATAGTTTTTAGAAGAGGGTTGACAAAGCTTTTAAGAAGCATCATAACATCAATTACAAAGAGAGGAAACCGATGACACTAAAACGTTGATGTCAGGAAATTAATTAATTAGTTCAAAAGTTTGTTTGATGCTACAAACAAATTGTATCTACACAGAAAAATGCGAGTTCTGAGAGCAATATCATGCAAGGTGAATATAAGATATATTTTCAATATGAAGGTTATAAGTTTACATTTGAAGTTGAATGAAGATTATTGAAAGATGAATCTAAATGGTTTGCGAGTTCATTTGAAACTTCTGAAAAAAGAACATAGAATTCAGCTTCGGGATCATATTCTCCATCTTCTACCGTATTGACACCAACGAGCAACAAATAAAATCCATTATCACCTATTTTGTTACGCCGTCTAATCTGCCAAAAGGCAGCCAAAAGGAAGGAGAAAGAAACGCTTGTGAAAATGTCCATTCATAATGTAAAATTTGATGTTTTTTAAGATGATAAAAAAATTGATTTGATATTTATGTTTGCACAAGCAGGTCAACCCAACTAATTTGGAGACGTAACACAAGATTTAAAATAAACTTATATATATATATATATATATATATATATATATATATATATATATATATATATATATATATATATATATATATATATATATATATATATATATATATATATATATATATATATATATAATTTTATTTTAAAATAAATGAAATCATCAATCAATTTCTTCAATTATTTTTTTTTCCAGTTTAAATCTCTAATTAATATAAAATTAATTAATAATCTTTAAAACATTTTTAATCCTTAATTAACATTAAAAATTATCATGTTTTTATAATATTAATAATGTGATTCAGATTTACTAATTTTATGTATTTCTTGACCTATATAATAAAAATAATTACTTATTATATATATTTAATTTAAGAATTATATTAAAAAATAAGTATTATTTTGAAAACTTAATTTAAAATTATGCATTCAAAATATTTATTTTTATTCATGTATAAACAATAGTAGCAAATTTTTAAGACCAAATGAAAATAAATAAGAAATTAAAATTAACTTACAGTAACACAATAATACATTATATTTAATATATTATTAATTATCTGAGGTCCCATATTCTTCCATTTTCTATGTCTTAAAATATAATATTGTGGGTGACAAAGCATTTTCCATTTCCATGTTTCAATGACCGTTCCGATCCAAAACACCAACCCTCGAGCATAACACTCTTGAGATACTTCTTCCAACTTCAACACTCACGCTTCTTTCTATAAATATTATATGGAACAATTAGGTTTATTTGTTGGACTCACTCTGAACAAGCAACATGGCTTCAACACCTCTTGTCTTCTCCACCTCCTTCTCTTCCAAACTCCACCTAACTTCCCACACTAACAAATCACACCCTCATCATCCACTTCTTAATTCCTTTCCATCTTCTTCTCCATCCTCTAAATCAAGACTGAAATTTTCCTCTTCAAACCCACTCATGTTTTCTCCTAAACTAGTAGCACGAGCTTCTTCCGAAGAACATGCCACTGAAGTCATACATGATTCTGGCTTCGTGGGCGAGGACGCTGCAACTTTTCACCTTGATAAACAGAAACTTTCTTCTTGGCTTTACTTCACTGCTATACTGGGAGTGGTCTTGTTTGTTCTTAACTTGATCTGGATTGATGATTCAACTGGGTTTGGTAAGGTTTTTGTTGATACCATTTCTGGAATTTCTGATACTCATGAGGTGATTAAGTTTTAACCTTTAATTCTTTCTTTGTTTATATCATGACGTAATTCTTTGTCTGGTTGGCACTTGAAATTCATGAAAAGAGAATGCATCCATTAAGTTTAGTAGTTAGCAATTTTATGTGTGATCATTGTATTCTGAAAAACAAGATAATAAAACCAACACAAATTATGTAGCAGTGTAGCACCAACTTAAATCTGCAACTGCAATGGACTTAGATTCGTAACTCGTTACTGACCATTTGAAGTGTTGCACTCTGCAGTTGGTAATTTTAGTCCTGATTCTCATATTTGCGGGTGTCCATAGTGGCCTGGCCAGCTTCCGTGACTCCGGTGAGAAACTCATTGGAGAACGAGCTTACCGTGTTCTTTTTGCAGGGACATCACTTCCTTTGGCTCTCACCATGATTGTGAGTACCTTTTTTCTTATAAGCTGCAGAAAAACTTCAATATCCTAATACTTATTATGAAACCGCGTCTAAGTTTTGTCCCTATACAATTTCTTTATTTGTTTAGGACTATAGAAGTTGATTAAAATTTTAAACTAATATCTTCATCCATGTTTGAAATTTATGATGTAGGTGTATTTTATCAATCACAGATATGATGGACTTCAGCTCTGGCAGGTTCAAGACGTTCCCGGTGTTCATCAACTTGTGTGGCTTTCTAACTTCATCTCTTTCTTTTTCCTTTATCCATCAACCTTCAATCTTTTAGAGGTTGCAGCAGTTGACAAGCCTAAGTTACATCTCTACGAAACTGGAATTATGAGAATAACCAGGCATCCACAGGTATAAACAAATCCAAACAAATGCATATATCAAAATAGAAGTTGTAAGCCACCGATGAATATGTGGTTTTCATTTGACGTTATTCTAAATAAATGTTTTGTTTTGGTATCAAGATGGTTGGGCAGGTTATGTGGTGTCTTGGTCATACAGTTTGGATTGGAAATTCTGTTGCGGTTGCGGCTTCATTCGCCTTAATTGCACACCATTTATTTGGTGTTTGGAATGGAGATAGGAAACTGAGTGACAGATACGGGGAAGATTTTGAGATGGTTAAGGGCAGAACAAGTGTTGTCCCATTTGCGGCAATACTTGATGGAAGACAAAAGCTACCAAAAGATTTCTACAAAGAGTTCATTCGATTACCATATTTTACAATCACTGCCATAACACTAGGAGCTTATTTTGCACATCCACTTATGCGTGCAGCTAGTTTCAAGCTTCATTGGTAGTTTGAATTTTAAAATCTCATGTTTATAGGTAGCTATACTGATGCCACGCTTTGTACGTATTCATATACGGATGGATAGTATTTCTACATCAACTAGAAAAGTGAAAACATGGATTAAGAAATCAATTGAACAGTTGATCATGTGCACAACCAATATCTCATCTTTAATTGACCAAGAGGTTTTTTTAGCAGTGCTTTATAACGTGTTCTTTTTAACGAAGTAGGTTTGGAACTATTTTTGTCCCTTACATAATAAGTAAGTCTTGAATGCAATGTGTGTTGTAAGAGTCTTTCACCATTTTTTCTTCTCTCGGCTCGGTGTTTCATTTCATTTTGATATATCTAACCGATGTTTAAGTCTCTTAACCATTTGATATAATCTCGATAAATTTCAGCCATTTCTAGGGAATTGCAAAAGAAAGTACTGTTTGGATGAATAATTTACAATATTTTTTGGAGTTTCAAATTCCAAGGCAATGGGCGCCCATGTTTTGCGAACTGCCTCTCAGGCATCAGCGGAGAAAGACCTCTTCCCTTTCCCTGCAATTCTATTTTTTTGGTCCAAAGCTTCAAATTAGCTCTACACAGGTAATGTTAACCAAATCTCTTGTTTGAGTAAATAAGCATTCCATGTGTTGAACTGTATCAGTTTAAGTTAATGGGATAGTTCGTTCATGACATAGTGGCAGAAGCTCCGACTAAGTGATCTAGAGTTAGATCCTTGCTTCCCACATTCTTCAAAGTAAAAAGTTAATTTTAGTGCAAGGCGGGCAGTCTTATTACTCCTATCTTTTTCCCCATACTTCATGTCTGAAGGGCTCTCTGTTTGAGAGAGCGTGTTAAATATGTAATATAAAACCATTCTAGTGTCCACTCTTCACTTATCAACTTATGCTTATGAAATGGTTGATTCATAATACTTCCAAATTCTTGTCAGATACTTTATTTGTTACTCTTTCTGATTTTAATGTCACACCTTATCCAATATGTAATGTTAGAGGAGAGGGCATTTCGGATTCTGAAGTAGATAGTACCAGGTTGGATTAGTATGTAGATTTGGTGAGATATGCTTTGATGCATTCCAAGATTCAGGGGCTAACAAGGTGGGGGATGTTTTCAACTTAGAAAAAGGGAGAGTTGGCTGTGAGAGACAGACAATTGGTTTTTGCTTTTTCTTTTCAAAGAAAGTTCATTAGAGAAAATTAAGAAAGAAATACAAAACAGTGAATAAGATAACCTCCTAAAAGAAACCTCAATAAAAAAATCAGAAGAAACCAGAAACACAGATCAGAATAAAGGCCTGTGACACTTTATCTTTTTCGGTTTTTGCGGTGTGATTTTTTTGGTGAGAGAATTCAGAAATGTACTAAGTTCCAACATGCCATAATTCTATGAGCCCAGAAGCTCACTCGCTCTAAGTTTTTTTCATAATATATGCTTCATAACTTTGTAAAACCTTGTATTCTTTTTTTTATCTTCTTGGAAACTATTTAGGCTTATCAACCCTTCATTCTGATAGTAAAACCTTATATTCTCTCTATAATTATGGTATTTGCACAAAATGGCAGGTGGTAAGTGATCAAAAACCAGTGGTTGGCCTCCGCCTGTACTTGGAGGGCAAGAAAAGTGATAGACTTGCTTTACATATAAATCACCTTTCGAGCCTCCCAAACAAGATGATCATGTCCACAACCAATATCTCATCTTTAATTGACCAAGAGGTTTTCTTAGCAGTGCTTTATAACGTGTTCTTTTTAACGAAGTAGGTTTGGAACTATTTTTATCCCTTACATAATAAGTAAGTCTTGAATGCAAAGTGTGCTGTAAGAGTCTTTCACTATTTTTTCTTCTCTCGGCTCGGTGTTTCATTTCATTTTGATATATCTAACCGATGTTTAAGTCTCTTAACCATTTGATATAATCTCGATAAGTTTCAGCCATTTATAGGGAATTGCAAAAGAAAGTACTGTTTAGATAAAAATATAGAGATCAGTTAAAATGATATAAATTTATGAAACATTTTATTTAAGTTAAATTTAAGGAATTTCAAATGACATTAAAAAGTAAAGAATTCGAGATTGCTCTATAATATGAATGTTAAATTGTTTATTATTATATTTTCAAATTTTGCAAAATAGTCTTCATATTTTATGAAACTTACAAATTTATCTCTAAAATTTTAAAAAAATTGCAAATAAGTGTCTAAATAATTTTCAAAATTTACAAATTGATCTCTATTTTCCGTATTTTAAATTTGACCCAAAAATTTACAAATTTATGAAAATGAGCCTAAAAATTTAACAATGAATCATTTTAATACTCTATCCAAACAAAAAAAAAAAATTAATTGAATCATTTGAATTGCTTAGAATTTTGAATTTCTTAAAAACTCCTAATTACCTCATCCAAACACACTCTTAGAGTGTGTTTAGATGAAGCATATTAATGAGGGAAAATAATTTTTTGACGGAATTTAGAATGATTTGATCAAAATCTATTGTTCGGGTAAAAAATATGGAGATTTTTTAAAATGATGTAAATTTATAAAATATTCTATTCAAGTCAAACTTAAATAATTTCAAATGACACTAAAAAAAAATAAAGAATTTGAGATTACTCCATAATTTGAATGTTAAATTATTTATTAATAATTTTATAAAATTTGCAAAGTATTCCTTATATTTTGTGGAAAATACAATTTATATCTAAAATTTTCAAAAAATTACAAATAAGTCCCTGAATAATTTTTAAAAATTTCAAATTGGTCCCTTGAATTTTTCAAAATTTGCAAATTGGTCTCTATTTTTCATATTTTAAATTTGGCCCAAAAATTTAAACATTTATGAAAATGGCCCTAAAAATTTAACAGTGAATCATTTTAATACTTCATCCAAACAAACAAAAAACTAAAATTGAAAGAATTTTGATTGAATCATTTGAATTGCTTAGAATTTTAAATTCTTTAAAAATTTCTAATTACCTCATCCAAACACACTCTTAATTTATCGAAAAGTGAATTATTTGAATGAACATTTTTTATTATTATATTTGTCCACTAAAATATAGCACAATATTTGTATTTTTATTATGTAATTTCTTTTACCACCATAGTTTAACACCTCTAAAAATCTAAAATTGCTCTCAGAAATATTTGAAAATGCATCTCCGAACGCATTATGAATCATTTTTGTTAAAATTTGATTTGGAGATACATATTCAAATATTTATGAGGTGAATTTGAAGATGCATATTTAAAAACTCATATTTCAGATATGCATCTCTTAAAACTTCCCAGCATGCATTGTGGGCAAAAATATTGTCTAAGTTTGTATTTTTTTTAAATAATTCGAGGTCATTTTAATGTGACTAACAGTGTTATAATCCATAATTTGATTCAAATATTAACATCTCAAAATAAGATATTGCATTAATTAAAAAAGCATCTCAAAATATTACAAACATAGTTCTCAAAGTGTAGAAAATACTAATAAAACATCCAGAGAAAAAAAAACCTATTGTGTATGCTTAATCTTAACCCTGACCCTTCCTCTGTCGTCAGTAACCCAAGACCTTTGGTACCTCGGTAAGAATGGAACGTGATAGGACAACCACATTGTAATACGGTGGGAGAACTGACTTGGTTTTTCTGCGTTCGATCGCAATTGTTGCGGATAGCAAGAGTCGCCACCGACTTTTCTTTTATCCAAATAGGAAAGGATGAAAAGAACAGGAAAGACCTTTGAGATTATTTCTTGAGTTCAGAGGTAGATTATAAAAAGGGAAGGTATTAGCATCCCTTTTATCCATAGTTATCTATGAGCTCTTAGTTGCTTGCTAGATCACTTGCTTTGTTTGAAAATGGGCTTTGTGGTGGGTTTTGAAAGTACTTTTGAAAAGCGCATTCGTTGAGACAAACTTTGTAATGATTCTCGTCTCTATAAGAATGCATACAAAGTGTTTGACCTTTTTTTGAGAATAGTTAAAAGATATGTTTGTTTTTGAAGATGTTTGTGAAAGTGTGAGTCTGGAAATGGTTTTACAAGCAAGCAACTAAGAACGTTCTACTTACTCAAAAGTCTTTTTGTTCATTTCTTCCTTCCTTTGATATTGCTATCTTACTATTGATTGGTAATAAGCATTATCTTTGGATGTAAAAGAGACGGACGTGGGTCATCGTATAGTCATGAATAGCAATGTTGTGAGATATCTTAGCATTTCTCTTGAGGGACTAAGATCATTTGTAAGGCAACATTCGAAGCGTCATCGAGGGGCTATGATCTTTTGATTGTTTTTGCTAAGACGTATCACATGCATATTATGACCATTTTCTCAAGGCAGCAAGTGGAGTTAACCCTAGAGATACATGTGTACAAGTGTGTTTGATTGCATGCATTTTTTGTCTTGGATTTAGGATTTTCTAAGCATTGGTTTTAATCTTGCCATACGGTTAGCTCCTGAATTCGACACCTATACATGTTGGTCCTACTGGCCAAGAATATGTTGAAGAAATCTAAATTTAAAGACGCTTCGATAGAAGAGTTCGTGATGTTAGTTGTGTCGGAGCTATGCTAAGAAGAGAATAAATACTTAGATAAATTTTCTAAGTTAAAAGAGGTGTTCGACCAAGAAGCCTTTGGCCTTCGACCAGGAAACTTCGTATCAACAATAAGTGATTTTGAATCTAAAGAAAGGAGGGAAAAGCAGTTCACCTGACAGTTGAAGAAAGCAACGTGGCATAAGGACAAAAGTCGAAGTGCATGCAGAGGACACTTGTCCTTATCTTAGAGTGAAACAACTCCTTGACGGTTACCTAATTCTAGTATAAATATAGGGATTCTATATAAATTTCCGTGTGTTCAACTAATTGTACAAGTCACTCAATATTATTTGAGTACCTGCTGCGTGAGAAAGAATACTGAGAATGTACGTTTGAAACACCACATTTTATAATCAAAGTCTTTTACATTCCTTTTTTCATTCCTTGCCATTCTTGTTTACAGC